AGGCAGAGTCTACAACTCCCGAAAACAACGCTGACCAACAGGCAACTGTCGTCAAACAACCAATTGGCCAATCAGAGGCCGATTCCACGCCAGCGGAAAACGACACAGGCCAACAGGCTACAGCCGTCAAACAACCATTTGGCCAACCAGATGCCCAGTCACTGCCAAATGACGACGAAGTAGAGCTGGAAAATGATGACGAAGAGGCGGAAAACGGCATTCCATTAACCAGAAATGGCAACGGTCCTTACAAAATAGAGGAAGAAAACGAGATTCCTACTGCGAGCGGGATCTACGGTAATGGATCTCAGCCCAGCGGCTCAGAGGACCACAGCACATCTCAAGTCCTGTACAACCCAGAGTGTCAGACAAGCGAAACTTCAGTGCTGTATGAAGAAAACCCGATGGACACTGGACCTGCTCACCCAGGGCTCGAAATTACCGGTGTCCCGATGGCCACTGACCACTAAAATTTTGGCCGGGACAACTTTAAAGACACTTTGGGACATTTGGTGGACAATAGAAAAATAATCAAACACAGAACGTCAGCCCTTCTTTTGTTCACCAGGCACACATCCTGGCTTTTGGCTCCAGAAGAGTCCCCTCAAATTTCCTATTTTTGTCATACAAAAGTCGTACAATAAGTCCTGAAAAACAGGTTGGGAAAGTTCATCCTCACTTCGGGACAGTTGAAATTAATATAGGGACGGTGCTGGGACAATAGTAAGAAAATTTAATTTCGAGGCCTGTCACATCCAGCTGAAGACCATGTCAAGTGACTGAAAGCTCAAAAACTTTAACTTTCTGAAACCAGTCTATGATCCACTGCTCACTAAGTCACATGTGTCATCTGCATGACGTGACGTCACGGAAGCGGTGGATTGCTCATTCCTTCACAAAGACTGGATTTGTACAGTCAAAAATTTGGGGGTAAGTCAAATTTGTTATGTAATGGAAACTACAATTCAAACTGCCTCATAAAAACTTTAAGATATTGGCCAAATATTGAATTTATCTATTTTCAAAAAAACAAGAACTACATGTAGTCATTCATTCACTCAGCATCTCATGCAACTGTAGAAAGACTCCATAATTATCAACAACTTACAATATAATTTCAGTGAATCGTTACTGTGTTCATAATAAAATATTCCTGCAGTCAGTCATATACAAATTGTGTTTTCAATGTTATTTCAGGCAAGATAGCTGAAAGTGATTGTAACATGTCATACATGTACGTGTATGTGGCAAATGAAATTGTTGTATATTCTGAGGGAAGCAGATATTGTTGATGGTGAAAAGTGAGTGAATTCTTTGTGAATGTATCAGAAGAAACTTCTAAAAACTTCTAAATCTTATGCTTAATTATATATTATGACTTGAATATGAGCTTAAAAGTTGCTAATGTAGGGAATACTCACTGCACTAGCACTTCAGTAGAAAGCTCAATAGAATGTGCTTGAAGACTGTCTGTATCTGTATCTGTATAGCCGGTATAACCGCCTTTCGGTGTAACACACCAGCTTCGCAGGCACGCGGCGCGGCGGCAGCTGGCTATATTACACCGATCGACTTGTTACACCTAACCCTTGAACTTCTAGCTCTAGACATTGTTTAAAGCTATCTATTGACAATGCCCCTACTGTACTTGGTGACAGTGAGTTCCACTCTGCGATAGTTCTAGGAAAGAATGAATTCTTGAACACCTCAATCCTTGGTTGATAACTCTGGTACTTGAATGCGTGCCTATTTCTTGTTCTCTTCTGGGCTGGTATTAAGTACTTAGTAGTTGGGACATCCACCAGTTTATTAGTCATTTTGTACATCATGCATAGTCTAGACATCTTTCTTCTGTC